ACATATATTTATGTATTCTTCATGCAGCCCACTCTATTATGGTTACGAGCGTGATGCACGACATAGAAACATCAGTGTATGCATCTCGTAATCGATGTAGAACGTAGTCGCACCCAGTTTTACAATATTGAGCAGTACAGGGCATTGGTTACTCTGGCGAGGACGGAAGTTAGATGTTCCGGCTCAATAATTACCGCCAGAAATATAATAAAATAAAATTCGTCATCAGTCATCATCATAATCGCTGGGAAGTAATTATAGCAATTAAGTTATCCACCAAGAATGAATTCAAATGGATAATTTCTTATTCACCATCAGCATCAACATCAACTTTAGCTTTAACGTCCACCATAATATCTTGGCTCAAGAAGAAATAATGGAATTCCCTTCTACTTCTTCTTTTTTTTCTCCTACTACTTCTACTACTATTAAGCTTATGTATTTGTATACACTGCACAAAGATTCTGTCTGGAGTATCATTACGCAATCATTTATAATTTTCATTCGTCACGATTCAAACGTAAACGTTCATCTGACCAGGATTTACCAAAAAATAATATTATCTGGTCACGGTTTTACTCTCTGGCTCTAAGCGCATACACAGAAAGAGAAATTTCTTGACTGGAGAATTAAATTCTTGGCTCAAGAAAATTTTTGGGTGTCTGAAGGAAGACCGAAGTTAAGGCCGAAGTAAATTTTTTCTTGAAATTCTATTCTTGGTGGAAATTTTTTCTTAATTCAAATTATTATAAATACTTGATACAATAAATTTTTATATTTGATCAAGATTTTTAGATCGGCTGGCCAATTTTAAAACACAGTAACTGCAAAATTTTTATAACTGATTTTTTTTAGTATTGCTGCATTTTTTATAATTTTTAGACCGCAATATCAAGTATTTTTTCTTAAAAATATTTAAATTCTATTAGCATTTTCAATTTAAAAATGAAATTTTTCATCAATTTTGCGGGCAAACTTTTTTTTTAATAAGAAAAATTGTAAAAAATTTTTAATGTTAGTTACTGTGTTTTGAAATTGGGCAGCCGAGATACTTTAGGGAAGCAGCGCCACCTACTTTAGCTGAGAAAAAAATTTTCTCACCTTGATAAAATTTTTCTCTTGAATATTTAATATCCATTTTATATTACTTTAGCGTGCAATTATACATACATATTGAATGAAATATTATTTGATCTTTCCATTTGACATTTTAATCAATAAAAATATTAATGAAAAGTTACTTCTATCTTTATATTTAATTTTTTGGAGCGAGAGAGAAATTTTCTCAAGACAAGAAAATTAACTTCTATCAAAAATTAAATTTTTTGGAGCAAGAGGCTGAATTTTCTCAAAGCAACAAGATTTTCTTGACTTAAATAAATTTTCTTAGATCAAGATACGTACTTAAAGCAAGAGAATTAATTTTGTTGGAATAAGTGAAATTTCTTGTGTCAAAAAAAATTTTTTTTCACTCAAGAAAATAATTAGGAAGAAAAATATTTCCTTGGTTCAAGTAAACCTTTTTTTCTGTGTAACAGTTACTTAAAAGACGAGATTTGAATCATCGGGGCCAGCGACATTTCTGGAGGGAGGTGTTACAGCCAAAGAAACTAAGTTCAAAGCTGATTAGACAGTATCGGATTGAAAGTTGATCACCTATTGATTTCTATTAATTAATTGAGTTTAAAAGAAGCAATTAAGAAGAGAGAAATAGATGAAATGCTTTGAAGAATTTTCAAGATTGGGGATAGTAAAAATGCTGAGCTCTGCTCTAGATTAAATACCTGGTAGAGGAGACTAGGTAAGATTTAGCTTCAGGCGATACATTTTTCGATGTGGCTAGTGCCGGTCGAGTATCTAGTACCGGTCCGACAACAAAAAACTATTCTACTCTTTATAAATTCTTCAAATGTCTTACATTTATATTATATTTATAAATGAATAGCTATTGAATAAACACGCGTTTGTTTTTATATGAATTCAATGTTGGAATTAAATACTTTTGACTTTGTTCTTTGAGTTGTTTATTTATTCTTCGTTGAAATTATTAAAAGAATTTCAAAGAAATTAACTGTTGCTAACGGCAAGGTCACTTTCGAGCGCAAGGAACTGAGTTCGATTCCTAGCGACAGTAAAAATAACTCGAAGTAGATTTTAAAGTTTTTAAATTGTTGAAAAAAATTTTTACTAATCCTGAATTGATTTATGGATAATAAAGTCTGATATGTAATTAATACAATAGCCCGTAAAAATTAATCGCGATTTATACGCTCGATAAAAATTACACACCCGCAAAAAGTGTTGTTGTTCGAGCTGAAAAGTATGAGATAAGATGTGACTAAGTTTACAAAGCTGGCTGTAATACATTGTTTTACTGATAACAAGCTTGTGGATAATATATATTATGTATGTATAATGCTCTTGCGAATCAGCCGCATCGTCATCGCCTTTTTAGCGATAACACCTATATTATAATTTACAATAAAAAACCAGATAAAAATATCGTTTAAAGTCGCAATCAGTCACCGGGATAATAAATAATTCAGATAAACTAATTCATGACACTTTTACGTTCAATTAATATTAATAAATTAACAAAGCTAATTTTTTGACAATCGATCGATGATTAATTGATCAATGTCTGACCTCAAAGCATTGGTGACGTCGACTTTATTTATGCAATATTCATAATACGGTATTGTATAATAAAAGTCGTAGGTTTTTTAAGTACAGAATAATTAAAAAATATTAATATTTATAATAAGCGACTTTGACTTTGACTTTACATGAGTTTTCATTTTTATTTTGTTTAAGTTTTGACAAGTTTAATCTTGTACTTTGCCTTAAAAATTTTAAACTCTTCATTAAACATTTGGAAAAATTATTAATAATTAAAAATTAAATTATTAAATAGATCCTAATGAAGTTGTCACTATGACATATGCAATTGTATTTTACTTAACTAAAACAAATCGACTCTAATAAATTAATAAATACAATTTTTTATTTATAAATTTTAAGGTACATAATTGGTTTTTTGAGAGCATTTTATTTATTTAATTAGAATAAATTGCAAGTGTCAATCAACTAGGCCAGTATCAATAACTGGGTCTTTTACCTTAGATTAATAAATGAAATTAATTATTATATTGCTCGAAGTATAAATGATACATTTATTTATATTAATTATACAATTAATTCATTTGAATTAATTATTTTCACGTTTTATAATATTTCGCTAACTCTATTAACTTAATTATGTTAATATTTTTAAATCGCAAATTTAATATTTTTAAATCACAAATCAATATCGATAGATATAAATAAAAATTAAATATAAAATTTATGATGAAAATTCCGTAAGCTGAAAGTTTTTGTTTGTTGATATAGGATAAATATATCGAATAAAAAATGATTAGTCATGCATGTAGGCGCTGTACTGTACATATGCACATATTTACTATGATGTGTATGCCAAAATATACACTATAGTCCATGTACTATAGACCATGCTTGATTTTACTCCCGTACATTTTCATATTTCGGCTATAAAAGTCGTTTCTTAAGTAGTAAATTCCAATAAACTCCAAAAAGTTAGAACAATATAAAAAGTTTAAATAATTTGAAATGGTTCTATACAAAAAAAATTGTTTTTGAATTGTTTATATAGAATCATTTATTATTTTTCATAATACATTTAAAATTGTTTTGGTGAATTTTTCACCATTTTAAATTCAAGAAACAACGTGTGCAATATAATGTACACAAATAAATTTGGAGGTAAAAAAAAATATAAATTATTGTTAAAAGTGTTCAAAAATTTTTTGAGATATTAATAGCCGATTTAATTTAGCAAATAGCCAATTTAATAACTAAAATAAAAGACCCAGTTATTGACACTGGTCTAGTATTATTTAACACGTGCAATTTTATTTTAATAAAAAAAAATGAATTGTTCTCAAAAAACCAACTATCTCAAAATTTATAATTAAAAAATTATATTTATTAGTTTGTTAGAGTTAATTTTTTTTTCTTAATAAAATAAAATTGCAAGTGTCAATAACTAGGCCAATGTCAATAACTGGGTCTTTTAGCTTAGTACACTAATAAAAAACTTCGAAAAAAAAATCTTGAATCAAGAATACCATTTTGTAGAAAATAATTTTCTTGAATTAAAAAAAAATTTTTGAATTGTGAATAATTTCTTAACTTAAGAATTTTTTCTCTTGACTAAAGAAAATAATTTCCTTCAAAATGGTACTTTTGGTTCAAGATCTTTTTTCTTGAATCAAGTTAAATTTTTTATCAGTGTATAAATAAAATTAAATTTAGGTTTGATTCCAAAATTTTATACTGATAGAAGAATTTCTTAGCATTTAAGATTTCTTAGTATTTAACAAATATTTCTTAGTATTTAAGAAATGTTTCTTAGTATTTAAAATATTTCTTAAATACTAAAAAATCTTTCTATCAGTGTACAATAAATATTTAAAAAATTAAACATTTAAAAATTTTTCCAAGTCCCAAAAAAATTTTAACTTTTATTTGACTATGAACTTTCTTAAGCGTAAAACAAAAATGAATATATATTATCACGAGTATTTGTACAATATGTCATCGAGTTGTATGACAACATCCGCGATCCACGCCTTCATTCATTTTCTTTAGGTTAACATTTACCGCAACTAGACTTCATCTGTCTCAGAATCTTTTATTTATATGAATAATACTTTTTGTTTTTTAAATTTACTCACATGACTTGGCCTTATACTTCGACCCTATCTTCACTATACATATATATATATATATATATATATATAACATACAGTATACAACATCCATAAGTATAACATAAAACATGTACAAGCAAAACGAATCAGTTCTTATTAAGGCTTCCTGTTTATTTTACAGAGGCGAAGTGTAGGATGGGCTCGTCAGTGCGAGGAATCGCGCTACAGTGAAGAGGAGGATCTTCCGTTAAGGAAGGAGGTACGAGGAGTATGCCTTCGTCGCAAAACGCCGCCACCGAGCGGCGAAACGACAGGATGGTAAGTTGTTCAATTATCATATAAATAAATAAATAAATAAATCAATAATATAAATTGTATTTTTTATGAAATTACTTTCTGAAACTGAAACTGAAAATACATACGCTGAATTTCTTCGCGAAATGTATGTCGATTATCTTTCGCTTCTGTTTAGTTATCAAGCTCATAAATATACATAATAAAAAAGAAAAAAATAATGAAGAAGAAGTAATAATAAAAAAGAAGAATTGGCACTTAATCATATTGATTTATTGGTTGTAGATTTCACACGAACCGCCGAAATTAAAAACAACGCTGAAGACTTCACCGAAGCAAGCTACCAATCCACTGCAGTTCGTTAAAGTCGGGCCGTGTTCGCTTTATCGCACTGCCCAGGAGCAGTTGCAAAAGGTCCAAGAAGTTAAAAAAGTAAAACAGGAGGTACGCGATGACCCAGAAGACTGGCAATCGGTAAGACTCTTAATAATAAATCACACACTAAGATTAATAGCTGGATGGTTGTTTTAATTATTTTTAATAAATATCTTTAATCCACGCCTTTTTCGATCGTTTACTTAATGACGGAAGATTTTAATAAAAGACACTTTTATTTTTTTGTGTCCTCAATTAATATGAGATTAATATTGTTTTTAAAAGTTAAAAAATAAACTAATGATAAAAAATTAGGTAAATATTTACAAGTGAGGTCAAAAATTTTTATTTTCATTTTTTTGAACGAAATTTCTATTTGATTTTATTGAGATATTTTTTTTTAACCTAGATAAAAAAATGAATTTAAAAAAAAATTAATTTTTACAATTTTATAAATTTTCAAAAAAATTTTAGAAAATTGTGATATTCATTTTTTTTTTTAATTGTTTTTTTTTTTTAATGGACTTTTCAAACAAAATATATCAAAAAAAGATAAAATAGAAATTTTATCTAAAATTATAAGAACCAAAATTTTTTCCAACTTTTAAAGGCAAAAAAGCTATCGAAATCTTTATTTTTTTCTTTCACAACATTTTTTAATTTATAAATTAACACTTATTAAAAAATGCGATCACATTAAAGTTAGTTAATTGACTACTTTTTAAACAACAAATTTCTTCCAAAAGATTATTAAAAAAAAAAGCATTTTTAATTTTTTAAAATTATTTCATGTCAATTTTTTTTTTTATAATGTTTCTTGCAATAATTAATTTGTTGAAAAAATTGTAAAAATGATTAAATATCAACTAAATTAATTTTCATATAAATGATGGCATTAAAGTTAGCTGTCGCTTTATAATTTTTTAATTTTATTTAACAAAAAATTTGTTCGAAAAAATTATTTTTAAAGAATTGCATTTTTAATTTTTTTAAATTTCTACATGTCAATTTTTTTTTATATTGTTTTTTGCAATAATTTATTTGTTAAAAAAATTCTAAAAATTATTAAATATCTGCTAAATTAATTTTCATATGAATGCGCTGTAAAAATAAGCAGAACCAAAAAACAATTTGATAATGTTAATTTTTCACCTTATTATGGCCCAAAATGGAGTTGAACCCACTTGTAAATAATTACCAAAAATTATTATTAAAAAATTGCACTTAGTGCTAAAATTTATTTATTATAAAATTCTAAAAAATTATCCAATATCTCTCTATTTTAGAATTATAGGTAGAAGAATTTTTTAGATTAATATTTAATGGAATAAATAAATGGACAAACAGGTTTAGATTATTAGAAATTTTAAAATAATTAAATATTATGGAGGCGTTTGGAATAACAGTTTTTAGTGAAATAATACAAGAGCGGTGTCGTGACAGGCTGAAAGTGTCGTATCTTGGATTGTTTAATTATCTGAAAATTTAATTTTAAAATTACGGGTTTTTAATTACGGGATGTGTTGTTGATTTATAATTTGTTTTTAACGGGTAAATTTTATTTTTAGAATTTGGATAACTGGAAAAGCAGTCGGAGGAAGCGACAGGAGCACATTATCGAACGAGTTGTTGAAGTTAAGAAACTGGAACTGGAGGAGCACGACAGACACAGACGTCGGAGTAAAACCTTCTCAGAGATGATGGAGGAGCGCAGTAGTCGGGGGAGGAAACTCAGTATGAGTCTCGCTATGTATCACGAGGAAGACTCTAATGATTTGAGTGATCTTGGCATTGGGACGAGCAGCGGTAAAAGTTCTGTAAGCGGAGACACTCATGATGATACACAGAGTGTTCTTGTAAGTTTATTTGTTGTTATTATCATTATGGCTTTAATTGTTAACCTTGATCTTGTATCTTCAAGTTTTTTATTTTTGATATGTTCAATGAACTTGGTTTTTATCGTTTTAAAAATTAAAAATACTTTGTGATAACAAACTAAATTAAAAAATAAAATAAAAAACAATTTTTAATGAGTTTAAAATAAAAATAGGGTCACTATTAAAAAAATTTATTTTATTGTAAATTAAAAATGAAATTAACAGACAGCTAACAATTTTTAGAATTTTTATCACCATTAAATTGTCATAGACAAAAAAAAAATGAAAAATTCCATTCATAGTTTTTTTGTGTCCACACTTAAAATTTTATCAAATATTATTTATAAATACTTGCTGAAAAAAAAAAATTTTTTTTAATAGTCACCTGTCTATTAATTTCAGATCAAGCCAATAAAAACGTCTTGAAAATAATTAACTAAAACTAGCACCTAACAACCTTGCAGCCACTATGTGATATGTAAATAAACCAAATTTTGCTTTATTAAATAATGGCTTTTGTTAAATTGCACTGTAATTTTTTAAAAATTGATGTTTTTAAAAATGTAAGCTCATTCTGATGTTACACTCATCAAGAGCTTTCATTTGAGTACCTACATGCATTTTTGATATATTTTTCATATATATATATTTATATATATGACAAATTGATGTAGGTACTCAAATGAAAGGTCTCGATGAGTGTAATGTCGGGATGAGCTTATATCTTTAAAAATATCAATAATTCACAAGATTAAAGGTCATTTTTCAATTATGTATCTAGAGATAGAGCATTTTTCGAATGCAGCTTAAATACTTATAATAAATTGACTATCGGTGAAAATGAAATGAAACCTTAAAAAAACACAAATTCAAATCAAGACCTTTGCAATTCTACTAAATTTCACTAAAAAATACCGATTTTAATAATATAGATTATTTAAAAGTTATAATAATTAATAATTAATACTAATAAAATTTATTTAAAATTACAGAGCGATCGAGATAGTGAGATCGACAAGAATCATTCAGACCTAGACAACGCGTCCCACGAAAACGGCAACACCAACGAGAACAACAACATGAACGCCGTTCCACCTAGCGTAACATCAATAACCAAAACAGCAATTAGTAAAAAATCTCCACAATTTGGAAACGGATTCCAAGACGACCAACGAGAGTACGATTCGGGAACAACAGCGACCACCAGCTCGCCAGAACCCGACGAGTACAATTACGAGGGAGCGATCCGATACAACCGAGCGCCACCACAAACTCTCCCCAGAACATCTCTGCTAAAACACGATCCGAAATTAGACAGCAAACCAATTATCAATTACGAGGAATCGGCTGGTGGGAGTGATAAAAGCGTTCCTGTCGTTAAGGTAGACATACTGAAGCGCCGTGAGATTTTCGAGAAGGCCGCTCAAAAAACCGCTGATAATAAAGTGAACAACAACAACGGGAATCGTTCCTCAGGAGAGTTTTCTTCTCCAGTGTCTATTAAAGAAAGACTGATGAGTCTCGAAAAACAAACAATAGAAACCTCTGAGGATGAAGATAAGAACTCCAAAGTAATCGACAGGCTTTCTGGAGACATGACAACAATACGCGAGCGTCTAAGTTTTCTAGAGAAGCAAGTTTCCGTACGTGAAACTAAAATATCATCACGTAAATTAAGCAATGATGAGTTTGAACCTGTTCGACCTTTGCGTGAGAGATTATCAACACTCGAGAAATATGCCAGCAGCGATGAATCTTCTTCAACGCCGGTTAAACCGCAGCCGAGTCCCAGGCAGCACGTTGAGTTTACGACAAAAGTTAAAGATCGACTGTGTATTTTAGATTCTACTCGAACTAGCAATAATATTATTAATAATAATAATAATGATAATGATAATAATGTTAATACTAATAATAATAATATTAATAATATTAAAGATGTTGATAAAAAGCCAGTAGATAAACCGATGTTGCGTTTCAACAATCGGGAAAGAAACGAAACGTCAACACCAAGTGAGAGAAGTTCCTCTCCGGACTCCGAATACCGCGCACCACGTGCTACTTTCCACCAAAGTCTAGACTCCTTGGACGCAGACGCGTCCAGTGAACCTGATACATTTGATCGTGTCCAGAGCCTCGAAGAACTGGACTACGTGAGAAGAAGATATCCGACGTCAGTGTCGTCCGCTGAGATACTCAACGACACCGATCGGGAGGATTCTGGTATACACACCGCCGATGCCAGCTGTTCAGTTAGTCAGTCTGACGAACCAGTTGACGAAGAAGTTGCTCCAGTTCATCATGGCACTTCAATCACCATTGAAGTTAAACCACCTGTGCCAAAAGATCGTAATGTTAAAGGTGAAGATGATCTAGGTGACAAAGTGACTGATGAGTGCAATCAGATTAAAACCGAGGAGGATTTTCAATCGGAGGCTGATCAAGAGAAAGTTATCCAATTGGAATCGGCAGTGATAATAGAGGTGAGTTTTTTTTTTTTTAAATTGTTTTTTTTAGTTTATAAAATACTTTTTTTTTAATTGTTTGGGGTTACGGTAGTTTAAAATTTACGTTGATTGGTTTATTGGCAATTGGGTACTTTTCTTACTTTATTTTCTATTTGCTGGTTGAGGATACTGTTAATTTTTTGTTTCTTTTATGGCGTTCATCGTGTTATTTCTACGGAAATTTTAAAAATTAGCAGACATTTTTTTGTTTAATTAAATAAATAAATTAGACTGAAAAATTTATTTTTAAAAATAAAAAATTGCATTAATTTTTTACAATTTTTTAATACAATATTAGACAAAAAATTTTGGGAACGTGGACAATAATAAGATATTAAATTTGAAAGACACTTTTGAGAATTTTTTCAAATTTGGTCACTTTTTTTTTTCTCAAAAAAAACTTCAATCAATTTAACAACCATTCCCGCTCATCCCGCACAGGGCCGATTTTTGAAATATTTTTTTTAATTAATTGAAAAAAAAAAAATTTTTTATTTTAGAAAATTTGACAATTTTTTTTTCAATTAATTAAAAAAAATGTAAAACAATTTACATAGTTTCAATCATCTTTGCATTATTACACATGTTACTTAGTTACTTTAAGTTCCTAACTGACTACTATACTCCATGTATTTTTTGACGTAGTATTTATTACAAGAGTTTTGCCACGAGGATGTTTACCTTAAAATATACCTGAATTTGTTGTCTAATATTTCGTAAAACATGAATGAGAATTTACAAAGTAATTTTTAATACAATATTTTTTGGCTATAATTTATTTATTAAAAAAATTCTGAAAATAATTTTTGTATTTTTATCCTTTAATTAAAAAATCTTTAATATTTTTAAACAGTTATTTTAAAAAAAGTTTATGTCAGCATCATAAAAATAAAAAATTATCTTTTATTAAATAATAAAAAAAAAAAAAAAAAATAAAATGAGATAAACGCCAAAAGGGGACGAATTGTAAACAGTCGCTTTGGTCTCTCCTTTCTCAGGGTACTGCTGAATCGCCTGGAAATACCTTACCAACTAACAAATCTCAGATAGAGCAACAGCCGACTAAACCAACAAGTCGCGTTATTGTCTTCCAAAGCCCGCGAATTCCTCCGCGAAGATGTCCGCCAGTGAAGTCCGGAGATAGCAGCTCGCCGTTGCTCCAAGAAGATTCCGAGGTTGAGTCTAAATTAAGCGAGTCGAAAACATCTTCAGCTGAGTCAATATCTTCAACTTCACCGCTCAAACCTTCGAAAATTCCCACTCCGCTTCCTCGCAAGCCGACTGGAGTCACCGTAAAGCTGTCTTCAGCCCCAAACACGGCGCCAACATCTCCAATAAAACTGTCGGCTTCTTCAAAATCTCTTCCCTCCTCCCCGTTTTCCTGCAGACACTCGAAAATTCCCTCGCCTCTCAAGGCTCAAGAAGATCAACAGTCAGCATCAACAGTCGTTTCCGGAGAACAAAGTCAAGAGAGCAAAAATTCAGATCGAAGGCGGACTGTTTTTGAAGTCTGCGAGAAAATAATTGTTCCTCAAGATGTGTCACCGGTACTACCAATTACGCCTTTTATAACAGTAACTAAAGTCGGGGAAGATCAACAACAGCTGAGTGATTCCGAGGTCAGGATTAATGATCCTCAATCTAATTTTAATTTCATTAAAAAATGCTGAGCCAGATTTGCTTCACCAATCATTTAATGTCATCTCAGTGATTATTAATATAATACCATCATTATATTAAATTGCGCGTGCTAGATAAGATCTGTATATATATTATATTAGATTAGATATACATATGTATATGTATTGGGGTGAACAAAATTTTTTATTGTACAACTTTATGACTCGAAAAATTTATTTAATTTTGATCAATTAAAATTTTTTATATTCAAGACTTGTACATAAAAAGAACAAGATTACAATGAATATAATCCAGATATCACGCAGTATAATCTGGATGTTTCTACACTGAGAAAAAAAAGTACTACTCTTGAGAAAATTTTCTCGTCACAAGAAAATATTTTTTTTTTCTTAGTGTAGCTACGATCTGAAATTTTTTTTCACCACAGATATCACTGAGTATAATCTGGGATGATATTCAGTTTCATCTTGTTCTTTCTGTGTATTAAGAAAAAATTAATATTTTTTAAAAAGCACCTTAATACATTTATGTATATTAAGGTGGAGCAAAAAAAAAATTTTTAGGGATAAAATTTGTAGCTTTTAAAAAAACAAAACTTTTGAAAGAAAAAAAATTTTTTGAACTTTGAGGTTAAATAACTAATTTAATTTTTTAGTTTTGATAGAATTTTTTTTTATTAATAGTTTTTAAGTGAATTTTTATTTTTGCATAAAAAAAGAAACATTTCAATTTTGTAATTTTTTTTTTTTAATATTTCAATAACAGAAAAAATTTTTTTCCATTCATAACTTTTATTTTACTTTAAAGAAGACACTGCAGTTTCTAGAAACATGTCAAGAATATTTTCTTAAAACCAAAAAATTATATCAATTAATTTCAAAATATTTTAAGTAGAAAAAAATTTTTTTTCAAAAATTTTATTTTTTTTCTAAGCTAAAAATTTTACGTCCAAACTAAAAAAAATTTTTTTTCATTCTACCCTAATGTATATATTATAATAATTTTTATTAACGGCAATAATAATTATTAGTTTATTAAAATTAACAGAGTTGTTATCTATGTGGTAGGTAAAAAAGGCCTTACATTTATATTTACATAAAAAAAAATAGATAAAAAATAAAAAATAAGTCTTGGAGGCAAAACCTGGCATATAGATAGACTCCAGTACTCTGGCAATTAACCGCGTCTTTATCATCGGCAATGTAAATAGAGGAATACAACATAACGAGTAATAATAATTATACATACATGCGACGTGATTGTACTGATAGTCACGTGTGTAGTTGCTAGATCACCACTGTAGTGTCTTATGTGCGTGAGTACCGAGAGATTAAGATGGCAATATATTATTTATTATTATGAATATTGTTATTATTATTATTATTATTATCATTATTATTATTTTAATTATAATTCGCGATAAATTCTTCTGAAGGTAAAAGAAGAATAAAATAATGTAATCACTTAGTAAGTTCATTGTGATAATTATCTTGTTATCAATTTATTTAAATTAGATATTTGTAGTATTTATTTGTTCGATATACTTACTGAATATTTAATTATAATTATAATTAAAATTAATAATTATTGTACGTAAATAATTAGTGCCAGGAATGTAGAAAAATTTAAGAAGAATGTCATTAAATATACAATTATCTATACCGACAATTAATCGTTTCTTTTGCTGTCAATTATAGACCCAAGATAGTTAAGTAAACAGGATAATTTTATTTTTTTATTATTTTTCAATGTCCGAGGTAATTAATTATTATAAAAATATAATTCGGGATGTATTATTCTTATCAGTTATATTTAATATGATAATAATAACATACTTATTTTCATTTGATTTATTATCAAGGCTAATTTCAATAAAATAATCTGGTTTACTTAATTGTCATCGTCATTAATTACTAGACGATGGTAAAAAAAAAAAAAAATAATAAAAAAACAGTTGACGCAAATAGTTAAGCCGAGATACAGAGGTTGGGAATCGGTCATTTAATTATTAAACTCGATAACGAGTTTCAGTAAACAATGTGTCATAGCGCAGCTGTAAACTATCAGTAGTTAAATATTAATATTGTTAATTAAAGATAAAATGGCAAGAAACATCTAGCTTGATATGATTAAGACTGAGGTAAGATTCCATTGTAAGTAGTTTGTCCATTTATTCCAGATCCTTTTAATTTTTATTTTAAAACTTTGCTATTTAATTTTTACCGCTGAATGTTTTTTTTTTTTTTTTATGTTGAGTAATAGAGATATTTTTAAAAATATTTTTAACAGATGACATCACTGTGTAGTAAGACATACCTACAATAATTATTATTTTTTCTATGTTACTTATTTTACTATATAGACGTAATGGGTTTGGTATTTGCAGAGCTTATCTTTATTTGCTAATCCCTTAACAGCTTTATACACTCGTTTATTGCAGTACTAACATTCTTTTATTGCACTATTTCCTGGTACTTTGTTTTTAAAAGTTAAAACATTTATAAATAAATTATTGAGCATAAAATTGTCTGATAAATTTTCATTGCCACTGTATGCATCAAGTTATATCCAGTGAATAATAATTTTAAATTCAATGCAAATTTACTTCAGGGGAATTCGGTCGAGTATTTTATTATCATTCTTTTTTTTTTATATACTGTATTATTACTGTTATTGTTATTATTGTTGATGATTCGCGACCTAGGTGAAGGGCCTGAATATTTCCCGTGATTGCGTCGATAAATTTGCATAGAATGTAGCGTTGCGAAATTTTTAACGTGCAATAATAATTCATAAAAACTGGGTAATCTTATTATTATTATTATTATTTATATTATTATTATTATTACTAGCAACCTTGCAGTCACTATATGACTGCCATGACTTGTGAACTATAAATAAATAAAATTTTGCTTTATTAAATAATTAATTTTGTTAAATTGCACTGCACTTTCTTAAATATTGATGTTTTTAAAGATATAAGCTCATTCCGATGCTACACTCATCAAGAGCTTTCATTTGAGTACCCACGTGCATTTTTGATATATTTTTCATATATTCATACATATAATATATATAAATATATAAAATATATGAAAAATTGATATGGGTACTCAAATGAAAGGTCTTGATGAAAGTAACATCGGGGTGAGCTTATATCTTTAAAAATGTCAATATTTCACAAGATACAAGGTCAGTTCTTTATTATTGACATTTTTAAAGATATAAGCTCATCCTGATGTTACACTCGTCAAGAGCTTTCATTTGAGTACCCACATGTATTTTGATATATTTTTCATATATTCATATATATAATATATGTATATATATAAATATATGAAAAATTGATGTGGGTACTCAAATGAAAGGTATTGATGAGTGTAATGTCAGGGTGAGCTTATATCTTTAAAAATGTCAATCGTGCACAAGATACAAGGTCATTTCTTAATTATTGATATTTTTAAAGATATAAGCTCATCCCGATGTTGCACTTATCAAGACCTTTCATTTGAGTACCCACATGTATTTTTGATATATTTTTCATAAAAACATATATATTATATATAAATATATAAAATATATGAAAAATCGATGTGGGTACTCAAATGAAAGGTCTCGATGAGTGTAACATCAGGATGAGCTTATATCTTTAAAAATGTCAATAGTTCATGAAATACAAGGTCATTTCTTAATTATGTATTCAGAGATAGAGCCTGGACACAAAATTTTTCTTATTCTCTTAATAGTATAGATTATTGTTATTATTATTATTATTATTAAAATTAAATTAATTTAAATTAATGAAAATCATATTTAAAAAAAAAATATATTAAAATTTTAAATTGCAGTTATATTTCTTCTTTTTTTATTTTAAAAAATGTTATGCATTTTTATTATTATTATTATTATCACCGTAGTTATAAAAATTATTATTATTACTATTATAAAAATTACATGAATTAACGTAAATAAATTTCTGCAGGAATCAATTGTTACCGACGGTAGCAGTTCCGATGAGGAAATCGAGCTGCAATGCGAGTCAACAGAGTCAGTCGAGCACGAAGAAGAGACTCGAGCGAGTGAACCTCTGACTAGCGGCAACCAGAGCGCAGAGTTGCCTCTTACTTGTCCTAACATTAAGGCAGCAACCAACGCCGCTTCTCCTGTTATTGTAGTCGAGCAGGAGATTTATCAAGACTCGCAGTCAGAGTCAGTGGCTTCTTCAACACCGCTGTCATACGAGACAGAATCAAACATCTCCGACTACGATAAACCACCTGTTGTTTCTCCACTCACCATGGAGTTTATTGATCCATCTATGTCTCTATCCAAATCTGTAAGTTTATTATTTTATATCCTCACATGTTTAAATTATTAAGAAGTTTATTAATTGCCTAAGAAGAAATATATAATGCGAATGAATTTATGTGTTGATGTGTTTTATTGTTCAAGAAATTGATGCTTAACACGCAATCTTGGTGGAAATTCTTCCGATGTATGCTTTGAAGAGAATGTGTAATTTTTTTTATGATCTGTAAAAAATTATTTTTAAAGAAGAAATATTTAATTTGGCCTTGAGCTCTGTAGGATTTTTATTTGATAGCTTTAATCACTAAACTAAATTGTTGGTCTTGAATGTATACTACTATCTTCAAGGTTACTGATTATAGTGAAATTCTTATTGAATGATAGTAATATATTTTTTTAATAATTGGATTGATTATTTTATTATTAGATAATTTATGATATTGAAGATCAAAGACTACCGACTTAAAAAAAAAATTTTTTAAATTAGATTAAATAATTTTTATCTGACATAATCATTAAAATATTTATTTTAATCTTCAAATAAAAATACTAACAAACTTGCAGTCACTTGTGAACTATAAATAAATAAAATTTGGCTTTATTTAACAATGATTTTTGTTAAATTGCACTATACTTTTTTAAATATTGACATTTTTAAAGATATAAGCTCATCCCGATGTTACACTCAGCAAGAGCTTTCATTTGAATACCCACATGCATTTTTATATATTTTTCATATATACATATATATAATATCTATAAATATATAAAATATATGAAAAATTGATGTAGGTATTCAAATGAAAGGTCTTGATGAGTGTAACATAGAGATGAGCTTATATCTTTAAAAATGTCAATAGTTCTCAAGAAACAAGGTCATTTCTTAATTTTGTATTTAGAAAAAGAGCATTTTCGAATGCAGTCTAAATACTTACAATAAATTCAAGACCTTTGCAATGTTTTTCTTATTTTCTTAATAACATAGATATTTTTTTTTTTATATTTTTTACTTTAATATTTAAAAAAATGAATTTATATAAATATCTAAAATATTAATTTTATATTTCTTCTTGCAGATATATCAACTGAATTTATCAAACGATGAAAAAATAGAAATAATTTCACCTTTTCCCCTGGGGCCACCAAGCAGCGTAGAACCACCAAAGGAAAAACCACCTCCACCACCAATAGATTACAGCGACGATGAAAATCAACCAACCGAGCCTTTAAAGCGCTTAAACTCAACGCGTCGCATTAAAAAGGAGTTACGTACCCGCCGATCCGATTTCTTGGGACTCGAAGGGGTATAAATAATTTATTTATACATTTTTAAATTTATACATCGAAATTTATTGTGAAACAGCGAACTAAATAAATAATACATCGTGAGAATGAAAGTGTGAGATAATAACTGATGTATTATTATTATTAATCGACAGGTTGGTGACGATGAGCTCCACCTGGAAGTACCAAAACCGCTAGACATGACCGCGTTACTAGCTGAGGAGAGACGCATCGAGCAAATGAACCGGCGTTCTTACGACACCGACAGCAACTATGAGCAGGACTCAATCCACGATCGAGACTCTGGTGTGGGGCTCGGCCACGCCGAGGATTGGACCAAGCAAGCAGTGAGTCCAGACATGTCGCAGCACAGTCGTCAGAGTAGTGAACCCTTCGGTGCGAGTGTCACTTCCTCGGAGGAAGACGAGATTACCAAGAAAGAACGTGAAATCTTTGAAATGCTCGAGAAGGAAGAGCAGTGGCGTTACGGCAACGATCGTGAGCAGAACAGGTAGAATATTATTAACTCTCACGGACATTTTACTTCTTAAATTATTATTATTTAATATAATAACTATTATCTTCTTCATATTCATAATAATTCTCTACTTACTCTTTCTTCTTCTTCTTCTTCTTTTCTTAAATATAAATATAATATATTTGCGCGTATCTATTGCAGTATTGGTTTGGGTGCTCTGACTTTAGCCTCTAGCCCGGACGGCTCTTCTCTCAAATTGTAGATCAACTCTGGAACTTTTTTTTTAGAATATATCTATTTCGTTAGTATTAATAAAACGAACAAAAAATATTAAAAGTCTTTGCAATAATTATTTTTGTAGCTTTAGTGCCTTTTATTATTGTTATTATTAGCTCTTATTGGAATATTTTTTTTTCTGTAATAGTGAAGATAGAAATGTCACTGAAAATAGCTCATGTGTAATTTAATAATTATTAAAAACATTATAAATGGTTTAAAAATGTTTATTATAATAAATAAAAAAATTTAATATTTTTTAAATGTGTAATTTATTTATTTGAATTTAATTTGATTTAAATTAATTTAAAAATTTTTTTTTGTTTGCTATTTTCATAATCATTTTTTTCTTACTATTTTTGGGTGGCTGTAAATCTGAATAAGTAATTATGAATGAATATTTTATGGATAAAAAAAGCATGTAAATAGCGTTTGAAAAAAAATAAATAAAATAAAAATAAAAAGAAAAAGAAGAACGAAATGTGTGAAAATATTTTGGGGGCACACAGCGACATTGGCGAAAAACTCGCGCATAAACTGCGAGAACTCGAGGAGGAGAAGATGCAGCTGGAGCGTGAACGAGCCCAGGAGTCAGTGGCGTTGCACCGGCAAGACGAGCCACTGCGTAAGACCGAGGAGATCCAGCCACGCATGCAGGAGGAAGATCTCTTAAGAAATCAACAACAACAACAACAACAACAACAACAACAACAACAACAACAACAACAACAACTACAACATCTTCATCATCATCAACAGCAACAACAGGAAATAATTGTGATGCAGTCGGAAGTTATCCGCGAGGAGGAGATTGAGTTCAGGGAACAGGAGAAGTTGAGGTTTGACGTTGAACGGCTGAAATTACACGAGGATATTTATGATCAGGAGAGAAGAAATGAAATTCGCCGGCAAGATGAAATGCATTTGAGGGCTATCGATCGTAAAATTCGTGAACCAGAGGTATTTATTAATTGTGTTTTTTTATTATAATTTTTAATATTGTAACGTGTTTTTTTATTTATAAATAATTTATTGTCTACAGCACACGGTAGTGAATGCAGTAATGTGTGATCACGATGACGAGTACGCGTCTGGGGTAAGTAACGTGTCCAACAATTGTATTAAATGGAATTTAATTAAAAATAAATGAAAAAAGTAACTAATTAATAATTAATCGTGTATATAAAATAAAACTGTTGTATGTACAGGAAGTTCTGCGTGTTGAGCGAGAACTTTTGCAGTTAGAGCAGGAGGCGTTGAAACGTCAGCGCTCTAACATGGTTTATCGGGAGCAAAAACAGCAGCAACTCGCTGAGCAGTGGCAGTCGTTGCAAAACGTTAATTACACTGGGAATATTGTCCATGCTACCTATCAGAACATCGATATGACTAATTACCGGTCCTCGATGCCTAATTTACAGCTTCAGGAAAATCAACGTAGACGTCCGGCACCTCCGCCTATTCCACCGGCCAAGCCGTTGAGATTAATCGATCAACGGCAACGGGATATGACTATCAGGTAACTAACAATAATAATAATTAGCAACCCAGTCACTATGTGACTGTCGTGACTTGTGAAATATAAATAAATAAAATTTTGCTTTATTAAATAATGACTTTTGATAAATTGCACTGTAATTTTTTAACTATTGACGTTTTTAAAAATATAAGCTCATTCTGATGTTACACTCATCAAGAGCTTTCATTTGAGTACCCACATGCATTTTTGATATATTTTT